CCGGCAAGGTTGGTCCTCCTCCGGGAGCAGCTCCCCGCGCCCGAGGTAGACGAGAGCCGTTCCCTTCACCCGCCAGGACGGAGCGGGCCTGGGGGAGACCTGCTCGCACCACACCGCGCCACGCCGAGCGCCCGCCAGAAAGACAGTGGAGCTCCCGCCTTCCGCTTATATAGGGCGGCGGACGGAAGCGCCGCGGGGACAATCCACGCAGCCCGTTCGCTCCCGTGAGCGCCCCCTGCTGGGCGGGAGGACGCGGAGCAGCGAGAGGCCGAGGCCAAGACAAGGGACCGGCCCAAGGACAGGGACCGGGAGAGGGACAGGGAGCGGGACCCCTGGCCCGCATCTCTTCCCCGGCGCCGCAGGGCTGCCCTGAGCCCTCCCTCGGAGACGCGAGGTGCATTAGGGGCTGGATTTCCTTTTTCCCAACTGCACCCTGCCGTCCCCAGCTCCCCAAAGCAGTGGCAGAGGTTGGATCCTGGGACAAAGCAGGGATCCTCCACCCGTAATGCATCAGCCACACTCACTTCCCCCCTGCTCCCAGCCTGCAATGTCCTGCATGTCCCCAGGCTGGGAACACCCTTCACCTCCCCACCCTGTGACCCTAAACATTTGCCAGAGACTCCCCTGTACCTTCCCATTTCACAAGGAAAGCAAGAAAAAGGATCACAGGGATCACTTTATTTGTGGTATCAAGAACAGGCACGAGATACAAGTAGTTTTCATGTGAGATCGCAAGCTCACAATAGGAATAGGAAGGCCACAGGACGGAGGCGCCTTCTCACAACAGGGACAAACACGAGGACAGGAGCGGGGTCTGGCCTGGCTCCATGTCCCCTTGCATCGCTCTGGACAATTTTAATTCGAGCTGGAGACCCACCACAGCTGTGACCACCATAGGATCTCTGCACAGCAGCACTGCTGGGGGGTCCCTTGCAGCAACCAGCTCAGCTCTACCAAAAACCAGTGCTCTGGGTGCAGGGTCAGTCCTGCAGTGGCCACAGGAGTGGAGCAGGATGCCCATTACCAAGCTGTTGGGCACAGCCAAGCCTGTCCCATGGGCTCTAATTGACCTTTGCTTTGCTCTGCAGCTCTTCAAAGACCTCGCTCTCCCTCCTCTTGTCCTTGGCGCGGATGATGGTCATCCTGAAGAGCTTGCAGTAGAGCTCCATGGCGGTGGGGCTGTCGTCGTTCCCGGGGATGGGGTAGGTGATCAAGCAGGGGTTGCAGTTCGTGTCCACCACCCCCACCGTGGGGATGTTCATCTTGGCAGCATCCCGGATGGCCACGTGGGGCTGAAAGACATTGTTGAGGCTGCTGAGGAAGATGATGAGGTCGGGCAGGCGGACGCCGGACCCGAGCTGGATGTGTGCGTTGGTGAGCAGGCCGCCCTGCCAGTAGCGGGTGTGGGCGTACTCCCCGCAGTCCCGCGCCGTGCTCTCGACCAGGTGGCAGAACTGGCGCTTGCGGCTGATGAAGAGGATGATGCCCTTGCGGTAGGCGATGTGGGCAGTGAAGTTGAGGGCCAGCTGGAGGTGCTGCATGGTCTGGTCCAAGTCAATGATGTCTTGATCCAGGCGGCAGCCAAAGATGTAGGGCTCCATGAACCTGCAGAAACAGAGGGAGGGTGACACAAGGCGATGTGGGGGCAGGGTGCTATGGGCATCGAGCAGGGTTTCTGAACGCAGCATGGCCCGGCACAAACCTTCTCACACCCCAAATCCCAGCTGGTACCAGAGTCTGACACCCCGCTCGGTGCCCACATTGTGTGGGGTCCCCGTGCTTTCGCAGGACAGTAACCATGCATGGACAGAAACGTGGGTCTGTGTGGGCAGTTCCAGCCCCAGATGTGGTCAAGGGAAGCCCCGTGATCACAGAATCACAGAACACAGAACGTTAGGGATTGGAAGGGACCTCACAAGCTCATCCAGTCCAATCCCCCTGCCGGAGCAGGAACACCCAGATGAGGTCACACAGGAAGGCGTCCAGGCGGGTTTTGAATGTCTGCAGAGAAGGAGACTCCACAACCTCTCTGGGCAGCCTGGGCCAGTGCTCTGTTACCCTCACTGTGAAGTTTCTTCTCAAATTTCAGTGGAACCTCCTGTGTTCCACCTTGTGTCTGTTACCCCTTGTCCTGTCATTGTTTGTCATTGTGATGCTGTCAAGGGAAGCACTTCTGATGTCACCAAGCGCTGGATCACTCACCGATGCCGACATCCCTTTTTGTGCCCCAGGTGCACACGGGCATCAAAGAGGTCTTTCAGGGAGAAGAGCTCCTTCACGTTGAAGAAGTCGGGGTGGTTGAGAGGCTCGGACAGCAGCTTCTCATCCAGGGCTGGGAAAAGGGAAATCAATCCTTGTTGTCTCCTGTTGAGTTTGCAGGGAACGAGCTCGGACTGGAGAAAGGGCCCCAGTGCACCCACGACCACTTGACCGCGACAAGGGCCTGGTACTACCAGCAAGGACACGGCGGTCTCCACAGGAACCAGGGGTGCGGGGGCCCGGCTCGCTGGACCCGCCCTGTTTCCCCGGGGAAGGGGCAGCACTCACCGCGGGGCCGGGCCGCCGCCGGGGCC